TGAGTGAGTGATGGCGGTAGTCACTGCAGCTGGAGGCTCTCCGCACTTCCCAGGACGAGTTTCATTATTCCTCGTTAACGACACCCAAATGACGCCTGTTGGCTTCACGCCTCCCCCACCTCGTTACGCTCAAAGTTCATCCCGCGAAACAAAAATATATACATACATGTGTCTTCCTAGATTTGAAGCTTTCGTGACTGCAGGAATCCATACTCTTTGGGTATTTCGGGAAAGTCACGTAGGTAGTAAAATATAAAAAAAAAACCAAAAATAATATATAGCATATAGTATCTTTTGGTACAAGTCATCAGTGATATATTTTTTTTTCACTGATATATATTTGTTTCTACCTACGTGACTTTACCGAAAGAACCAAAGAGGATACATGTGTATTAATAATAAGTCAAAATATGTTTATAAATCGACAACAAAAAGCGAATTGCAGAAACGGGAATAGATGTGCGGCACGCGCGAAATTATCGGTGGGAACGTTGCCATTAACACGCAGACCCAGCGCTATCGTCGGGTACACGCACAGCCCTGGATGGGGAAAGGTGTGGGCACTGCCACTTGTTCAGAAAGGACTCCAATCGAATCTGTCCTTATTTGAACAGGTAAGGCCCCACTGAGCGGTGTAGCTTTTTTTTCTTTCAGAAGCTACCTCACCATGACCAAATGATAGTTCAGCGAAGGGGGCGCATCATCATCATCGTCATCATCGTCATCATCATCGTCATCATCATCGTCGTCATCATCGTCGTCATCATCCTCGTCGTCATCATCGTCGTCATCATCGTCGTCATCATCGTCGTCATCGTCGTCATCATCGTCGTCATCATCATCGTCGTCATCATCGTCATCATCATCGTCGTCGCGTGGACATTCATAGCAGCCCAATTACTCTCAAAGCGTGATGTCGATTCTAAATGTGGAGGGAAACAACGGAGGACCCCGGAGAAAAATCCACGCGACCACTGGGAGAGAGAGAGAGGGGGGAAAAACGCCAACTCAAAATATACAGGGTGCTTGAAAAACAATGTTAACACTTCCGACACTTTGCAACAACGCCGCGAGAAATGTGCCGCCGCCTCCTCCTCCTAGCTCTGGAGACCGCCTGGAGGAGATTCCAGGCGCGCGTTGACAACGATGGCGAACACGTGGGAGACTCTTTGACTTTATGAAGCTATTAACAATACATTTGTTATCACGTTACAGTGTATTATTATCCGTCCCTTTTCCGTGAAAAACGATAGTCCCATATGAGTGTTAACATTCTTTTTTTGAAGCACCTTGTATAGACAGCAGGCATCAGGGTCGGGATCGAACCCACGACCTCCTGTGTACCAGGTGAAGTAGTCGACATCGCACCATGCTTGTGGAAGCGCAATGCCGTGACCGGACTACGCCACTCTGGTCAGCACGGATCGGGGTCAAGGTGGTTGTTTGATTTTTGCTGTGGTGCCCTCTGCTGCCCACAACACCGATGACTTCTCCTGCTGCTGCTGCTGCTACCACCACTGCTGACAACCCCGTCTGTTGCGTACGGCGATCGCTCGTCCGGGAACTATCCAGTTGGACACAACCACAACAGCAGCAGCAGCAAGAATAACAACATTAATAATGATTACTCCAGTTGTGTAGTTTAATTGCAACGCAACTCTCCCTAGAGTCTCTCTCGCTCCCTGTCTCCCTCTCGCTCTCTCCCTCCCCCCTCTCTATCGCTCTCTCTCCGTCTCTCTCCCTCCACTCCTCTATCGCTCTCACTCTGTCTCTCTCGCTCCCTCTATCGCTCTCTCTCCGTCTCTCTCCCCCTCGCTCTCTCTTTTTTACGATCAGAGGAAACAAGAAGATGCTCGGTGTAGTCGGCACTTTGCTTCGTTCATCATTTCGGGTTTTTTAAATGCTTTGCATTATGTAAACCCCCCCCCCCCCCCCCCCCCCCCATTTTTTTAATGAAATATTTCACGAAAGACACTCTCTCTTATTCTTGGTTCTTTAGGTAAAGTCACGTAGAAGGGGAATCATAAAAAATAAAACAATAAAATTCTCACGACGTTTCCATTGCAACACCAAGCAATCATCATCAGGTGTGAAAACCACTCTCTCCTTCAGCCCCTCGCTCTGTCTCCATTCCTCTGCACGGATGATGAGCTCCTGAACTCGGTTCCCATGGGCTCCTGTGCAGTTGCACTGCCTGCACACTTGGGTAGCTACGTCACAGCCCCCCCCCCCCCCCACCACCTACCCCAAACCCGACTTGGAATTGAACCTACGACTTTCTCTCCTCCGTGGCCACCGTCGGCCAGACGCGACGTGATGATTTAAACATTGATCAAGGGACCCACCGTATTGATGTTCGTTGTTATTGGATGTTGTTATTGTTGTTGTTGGGTGTTATTGTTGTTGTTACGGTGCGTCCATCAACTTGTTTTAACATCGACGCAATTAGGGTTCATTAGCAAGACGCATTCACGATGCTCCGTCATCACAGCTTTCGTAATTAATTAATCGTCACCCTCGTGTTAATGGATTATTTCATTGTTTATGTTTACGTGTAACATCTCCACCACCCACCTATCCATCACCCCCCCCACCCCACCTCCATCGCACACAAAGACAAAGATCTCCCGTAAAGATTCAAACACACCCACGCACGCACCCACACACACACGCTCCTTCACAAAAACAACGGTCCCCCTTATAGCCTTAACAGACTGTAGGGGCAAGTGCTGTTAGCGAGCACCTATGAAGGCCGGCACGGCATACGAGGGGGTGGGTGACCAGCATCACGCTCGACCGCCTTTATCTCCCGATGTTCACACGCCGCACCAGGTACTCATTTGAGGCTGAGTCAACCTAGGGGAGGCCCAGGGCCGGTTCAGATTACCGCCACTGCTGTTGGCCGTGAGCGGGAATCAAACTTGGGTGGCCAAGTTCGCAGCGCGCCAATTGTTACGCTACCGCTCCCCTATACGCACAGACGCACAGACACGCACGCTCCTGTACACCCACGCTCTCCCATAGACACACACACAAGACACACACACAAGACACATACACACAAGACACATACAAGACACACACACACAAGACACACACACACACAAGACACACACACAAGACACATACACACAAGACACACACACACACAAGACACACACACAAGACACACACAACACATACACACACATGACACACACAAGACACGCACAAGACACACAAGACACACATACACACAAGACACACACACAACACACACACACACAAGACACACAAGACACATACACACACAACACACACAAGACACACACACACACAACACACACAAGACACACATACACACAACACACACACAAGACACACAAGACACACACAAGAAACACACACACAAGACACACACACAAGATACACACAACACACACAAGACAGAGACCACTACGCCCGGACAGCCTTAACAGACTGCATCCAGCAAGGGACTGCGGTTCACGAGCGGCGCCCATGGGTAGGAGCAGCAACCACTCGAGGCCCCACCCCCCTGCCCCAATCAGAGTATTTATTTATTTATTTACTTCAAGGTTCTTCCGGCTCCTTCGAGGTCCCCCCCCCCCGGCTCGTTAGCATTCCCCGCACGGCCGCGTCTTGCAGTGGCGAGACGCCCGCCCGCCCGCCCATTATAATTCCTCATTAGGGAATGATCGCTTCTGACAACTTCATCTCCCCCCCCATCGCCCCGCCCCCCGCCGAGTAGCGTAACGAACGTGGGGGGCAGGTAGCGGTGGCCTTGCCCCCCACCACCACCCCCTCGCGCCCTGGTGGCCAAAGCTGCGAGATGCCCCCCCCCCCCCACCCCTGACCACGTGCCCCTACTGGAACATCTGTGACAAAAGAGCTTCACAGCTGATCGCATTCCTCCTCCTGGTATGAATGAATTGATTCCGAGATATGTTTTCGACAACGGTGTAAAACAACAACAAAAACAACAAAAACAACAACAACAACTTCAAGCGCGGTTTAGGTGTTCTCTCGACTTAAAAAGCTTTCGCGTAAAGCTCCACGTTTGATTTTTAGTTCGACGAGAGTGCCAACCTTTGGCGTCCGCAGGGTTTGCGCGCCGCGCGCTTTGTTTCTCCGTCGTCGTCGTACTCGTCGTCGACATCGTCACCGGGGTAGGCGAGCGGGCTGCTGCATTACGACGAAGACGGAGAGGAGCGAGCCCCCCCCACCCCCCACCCTCCCCGCCGCACAGCGTGAAATGTTGGAGACCGTGAGAGTGACGACGATGAGCGAAGAGACACATCACAGTATTGGGGGGCCGCACCTTGACCGATTTCCGCACCGCCTAGCTACGGTGGCCAGGAGATGTTAGCTACCTCGCCTGGTACGCAGGTGGTCGTGGGTTCGATCCCGACCCTGACGCCTGCTGCTGCTGTACATTTGGAGTTTGCGTGTCTCTCATCATCATCATCATCACGGTGGCTAGGAGATGTTAGCTACCTCGCCTGGTACGCAGGTGGTCGTGGGTTCGATCCCGACCCTTACTCCTGCTGCTGCTGTACATTTGGAGTTTGCGTGTCTCTCTCATCATCATCATCATCACGGTGGCTAGGAGATGTTAGCTACCTCGCCTGGTATGAAGGAGGTTGTGGGTTCAATCCCGACCCTGACGCCTGCTGCTGCTGTACATTTGGAGTTTGCGTGTCTCTCTCTCCCTGTGATCGCGTGGATTTTTCTCCGGGTCCTCCGCTGTTTCCCTCCACATTTAGAATCGACATGCGTTGTGAGAGTATTTGTTTGCTATAAATTTCCACGCAATGATGAGCCACTTCGTTGAGCTATCATTTGCGATAGCCAGGTGGCTTCTATTAAAAAGAGCTCTATAGCTCAGTGGGCCTTACCTGGTAAAAATACAATAGTTTACTTTTAGTTCAACAGCACTTGCCCAAAGAGTCTGATGAAGCTGTACGGGTGGGATCTTTGTCTTTGCCTCTGTCCGCTCGCAGAGCCGCAGTTTGTGAACGCTGTGGAGTATGGCAACTACATCTACTACTTCTTCCGTGAGATGGCTGTGGAATACAGCACCATGGGCAAGGTGAGGACGTGGCAGGCACCGCGGTGGCGAGATGTCACCAACCTCGCCTGGCATGCGGGAGCTCAAGGGTTCAAACCCGACCTCGGCGATGCCTGTATATTTCGAGTTTGCGTGTCTCTCTCGCTCTCTCTCCCGCTCTCTCTCTCCCGCTCTCTCTCTCTCTCTCCCGCTCTCTCTCTCTCTCCCGCTCTCTCTCTCTCTCCCGCTCTCTCTCTCTCTCCCGCTCTCTCTCTCTCTCCCGCTCTCTTCTCTCTCCCGCTCTCTTCTCTCTCTCTCTCTCCCGCTCTCTTGCTCTCTCTCTCCCGCTCTCTCTCTCCCACTCTTTCTCTCTCCCGCTCTCGCTCTCTCTATCTCCGTGGTGGTCACATGGATTTTTCTCCGCGTCCTCCGGGTTTCTTTTTCCTCTCTCTCGACGTCGTGCGTTCAGAGATATTTGGCTGCTGTGAATTTCCGCACGGTGATGATGAGCCACTGCGTTGAGCTATCATTTGTGATTGCCAGGGTGGTTTCTGAAAAACAGAGCTGTGTAGCTCAGTGGGGCCTCCGTACCTGGTAAAATAAAATAAAACTGTTGAGTTTCCAGTCGAGTTTATTTTTGTTGAGGCGACCGCCCCGAGCCCCGCACATTGGGGGGCTCCGTGCTTCGACCTCACGGTGTCAGATGTAATGCTACCGGGGGGGTGGGGGGGGTTGACCCGCACACCTCCCTTATGGACGGCCCTGAAGGGCAGGGCACAACGCAGTGAACATTCAAACAAACTACCGCCTCATTGTTCTCATTGTTGCATTGTGTCCACCCCCACCCGCTCTCTTGGGGGATCTCTGTGCGTGTCTGCAGGTCTCTGTACGTGTCTGTGGGTCTCTGTGCACGTCTGTAGGTCTCTGTGCGTGTCTGCAGGTCTCTGTACGTGTCTGTGGGTCTCTGTGCACGTCTGTAGGTCTATGTGCGTGTCTGTGGGGTTCTGAGCGTCTCTGTGCGTGTCTGTGGGTCTCTCTGCGTGTCTGTGGATCTCTATGCACGTCTGTGGGTCTCTGTGCGTGTCTGTGGGTTTCTGAGCGTGTATGTGGGTTTTAGAGCGTCTCTGTGCATGTCTGTGGGTCTCTCTGCGTGTCTGTGGATCTCTATGCACGTCTGTGGGTCTCTGTGCGTGTCTGTGGGTCTCTGTGCGTGTCTGTGGGTTTCTGAGCGTGTCTGTGGGTTTTAGAGCGTCTCTGTGCATGTCTGTGGGTCTCTGTGCATGTCTCTGTGCATGTCTGTTGGTTTCTAAGCGTCTCTGTTTGTCTCTGTGTGTGTCTGTGGGTTTCTGAGCGTCTCTGTTTGTCTCTGTGTGTGTCTGCGGGTCTCTGAGCATGTATGTGGGTCTCTCTGTTAGCCTGTAAGTCAAATAAATAAAGATTCGTCTTTTATTCATTCCGGAACCCAGTCGGCTTCACATTTTCACTCCAGCAACAACAAACAACAAACAACAACAGTAAAGTCACGTAGAAATTTAAAACAACAACAGAACAATACCTCACCACCTCATTTTACAGACGTCACCACCACCAGCGCCACCACCACCGCCGCCACCACCACCTCATGCTGCAGACGTCACCACCACCACCACCTCATTTTACAGACATCATCACCGCCGCCGCCACCACCGCCTCGTTTATTACAGACATCACCGCCAACCGCAAGTTAGTTCACCGCACAGCGCCGCGTCGGGGAAGTCCACCGACGCGGTCGAGACCGCCGGCGCTGACTCCCGCTCTGTTTCCCCGGCCGCGCGCCCCGCCAGGTGGTCTTCTCAAGGGTGGCGCGCGTCTGCAAGAACGACGTGGGAGGCTCGCAGCGCGTGCTCGAGCGCCACTGGACGTCGTTCCTCAAGGCGCGTCTCAACTGCTCAGTGCCAGGCGAGCCGCGTTTCTACTTCAACGTGCTGCGCGCCGTCACGGGCGTCGTGACGGCACGCGGCAGGGCGCTCGCCGTCGGCGTGTTCACCACGCCGCAGAACAGGTGAGGGAGACGGGGGTTTGGGGGCTGTGTCGTGTGGGTTTAGGTGAGTGTGGGTGGTGAGAGTGTGTGGGTGGTGAGAGTGTGTGGGTGGTGAGAGTGTGTGGGTGGTGAGTGTGTGTGGTTGAGAGTGTGTGTGGGTGAGAGTGTGTGTGTGAGAGTGTGTGGGTGGTGAGAGTGTGTGGGTGGTGAGAGTGTGTGGGTGGTGAGAGTGTGTGGGTGAGAGTGTGTGGGTGAGAGTGTGTGGGTGAGAGTGTGTGTGTGAGAGTGTGTGTGTGAGAGTGTGTGGGTGGTGAGAGTGTGTGTGGGTGAGTGTGTGGGTGGTGAGAGTGTGTGGGTGGTGAGAGTGTGTGTGTGAGAGTGTGTGTGTGAGAGTGTGTGTGGGTGAGTGTGTGGGTGGTGAGAGTGTGTGGGTGAGAGTGTGTGGGTGGTGAGAGTGTGTGGGTGAGTGTGTGTGTGTGAGAGTGTGTGGGTGAGATTGTGTGGGTGAGAGTGTGGGTGTGTGAGAGTGTGGGTGAGTGTGTGTGGGTGAGAGTGTGGGTGAGTGTGTGTGTGTGTGAGAGAGTGTGTGGGTGAAAGTGTGTGAGTGAGAGTGTGTGGGTGAGAGTTGTGGGTGAGAGTGTGTGTAATGTGTGTGGATGAGAGTTCGGGTGTGTGAGAGAGAGAGACACCGTGAGTGGGTGTGAGAGTGTGTGGTGTGAGAGTGTGAGTGTCAGAGAGACACTGTGAGTGGGTGTGAGAGTGTGGGTGAGAGTGTGTGTGTGAGAGAGACACTGTGAGTGGGTGTGAGAGTGTGGGTGAGAGTAGGGAGTGGTGGTGTAGCGGTTAGCGCCGCTGCGCTACGAACCCGGTGACCCGAGTTCAATTCCGGCTCACGGCCAACACCGGTGACGATCATCTGAACCGGTCCTGGGCCTTCCCTAGGTCGACTCAGCCTCAGATGAGTACCTGGTGCGGTGTGTAAACATCGCCACTGTGGGGAGACAAAGGCGGTCGGGCATGGCACCGGCCACCCACCCATTCGTGTGCCTTTCCGGCCTTCGTAGGTGCTCCTCGCTAACAGAACTTTGTCTCTCAAAAGTGTTGAAGGCCACACATGGGATCTTTGTCTTGCGTGCGCGGTGCGTGTGCGGTGCGTGTGCGGTGCGTGTGCGGTGCGTGTGCGGTGCGTGTGCGGTGCGTGTGCGGTGCGTGTGCAGTATCCCCGGGTCGGCCGTGTGTGCCTTCGACATGGTGGACGTGGAGGGAGTGTTCGACGGACGCTTCAAGGAGCAGCGGCTGCCCGACGGCGGCTGGACCACGGTGCCCGAAGACAAGGTGCCCAGACCCAGGTGCGTGCCCACGTGCCACGGTCCGCCCCCTGGGGGCGTGCACGGCGAATCGGGGCAACAGCCCTGGGCCCCGTGCTTTTTGGGGGGGTGGGCGGGCGGGCGGGCGGGCGGGCGGGCGCACTTCGACGCCACGGTGGCGAGATGTTAATGCAGAAGGTCGTGGGTTCGATCACCGGCCCTGATGTGATGCTTCCCGGGCCCTGCAAAAGTATGAGCTAAAAACTAAACTATTTGTTTATTTTACCAGGCGAGGCCCAGTGAGCTGCGTAGCGCCTCTTCAGAAGCGACCTGGAGATCACAAATGATAGCTCGAGGAAGTGGGGAAGTGGCTCACCATCTTGCGGAAATTTATAGCAGCCAAATACTCTAAACGCATACATTTTGACTTAAAACTTTCGTGACTGCAGGAATTCATATTCTTGGTTCTTTCGGTAAAGTCACTTAGATAGAAAATAAAATTAAAATAAGAAATGTAAACTAAAAATCATATTTTTTTTATTTTTTACTTTACCGAAAGAACCATTAGACTCTAAACGCATGTCTCTAAATGCAGAGGGAAAACCCCAAGGACTCGGAGAAAAATTCACACAACCACGGAGAGAGAGAGAGAGAGAGACACGCAAACTCCAAATATACAGCAGCAGGCGTCAGAGTCGGGATCGAACCCACGACCTCCTGTAGACCAGGCGAGGTAGTTAACATCTCATAGCCACCGTGATGATGGTGAGAGTGAGAGACACGCAAACTCCAAATATACAGCAGCAGGCGTCAGAGTCGGGATCGAACCCACGACCTCCTGTAGACCAGGCGAGGTAGTTAACATCTCATAGCCACCGTGATGATGATGAGAGAGAGACACGCAAACTCCAAATATACAGCAGCAGCAGTCATCGTCAGGGTCGGGATGGAACCCACGACCTCCTGTAGACCAGGCGAGGTAGTAAACATCTCCTAGCCACCGCACCCCCACGTTGTACGGCCCTGCCCCCCATGTACACATCCTCTCTCGTGTCCCCGCCCCCCTCCCCCAGGCCTGGCTGCTGTGCGGGCACGGGCAGCGCTCGTGACGTGCGCAGCTCGGTGGAGCTGCCGGACGAGACGCTGGCGTTCATCAAGACGCACCCCCTGGTGGAGGACAGCGTGCCGGCCCTGCTGCACCGGCCCGGCTTCACCAAGACCATGGTCCGGTGCGTGATGACGATGGTGACGACGGTGGTGACAATGACGACGACGATGATGATGATGATGATGGCAATGACGATGACATTGATCACAATAACGACAGCGACGATGAAGATGATGATGACAACGATCACAATGATGACGACGCTGATGATGATGATGATGATGACAACGATCACAATGATGACGACGACGACGATGATGACGATTACAATGATCTCAATGACGACGACAATGATGACAATGACAATGATCACAATGAGGACGGCGATGATGACGATGCCAATGATCTCAATGACAACGGTGACGATGACAACGATCACAATGACAACGATGACAATGACAACGATGACAACGATGACGATGACAACGATCTCAATGACAATGACAACGATGACGATGACAACGATCTCAATGACAATGACAACGATGATGACGACGACGATGACATCGACCACAACGACGACGGCCGGGTGACGACGCCGCCGCCGTCCCCCCCAAAGGTACCGCCTCACCAAGATCGAGGTGGACACGGAGGCCGGGCCCCATGGTAACCACACGGTGATCTTCCTGGGCTCGGAGGACGGCGTGCTGCTCAAGGTGCTCTCCCAGGAGGGCGGAGCCTGGGCCGGCGGGGGCGGTGGGGGGGGGCCGTCCGGGCGGGGGGCTCCGGCGGAGGGGGCCGCCGGCGGCGCCCCCTCGGGCCTCCTGCTGGAGGAGATCCACGCCTACAACCCGCACAGGTGACGGAGCGCTCGCGTGGCACCGTCACGTTGCCTGCGTACGGTGGACTTCTTCCGCGCCGGACGGAGCCGTCCGTGCTAATTTGTGGGTCTCTATAGGTTATGGGTGTCTCTATGGGTCTCTGTGGGTCTCCGTGGGTCTGCTGTTAGCGAGTGCCCGTTGAGGCCGGGCCGGTGCGCTAGGGGACGTTGTGGCCAGCACCACACTATGCCCGCACCACGCTACGCCCGCTATGCTGATGCTGATGCTGGCGATGATGATGATGATGCTCCAGATGTAACGTGGATGGCATGGAGGATGGGCACATCATAATACTGCTGCTGATGTTCCTGCAGTTTCTGATGATGATGACGGTGCTGCTGCTGCTGATGATGATGGTGGTTATGATGATGATGATGACAATGATGCTTATGTTGATGATGGTGCTGATGGTTCTGATGATGATGATGATGGTGCTGATGATGATGTTGATGGTGTTGATGAAGATGGTGCTAATGCTGATGATGGTGCTGATGTTGATGATGGTGCTGATGCTGATGAAGGTGCTTATGCTGATGGTGGTGTTGATGATGGTGCTGATGCTGTTAATGGTGCTGATGCTGATGATGGTGCTGACGCTCATAATGGTGCTGATGACGACGGTGGCGCTGATGACGATGGTGCCCCAGGTGTAACGTGGACGGTGTGGAGGACCGGCGCATCGTGGGCCTGCAGCTGGACCGTGCGCACCACGCCCTCTTCGTCGCCTTCCCGTCGTGCATCGTCAAAGTGGCGCTCAGCCGGTGCGAGCGCCACGCACGGTGCAAGCGGTGAGACCCCCACGACCCCCCCTGTGCATAGCCTCAACGGACTGTTGGGGCGAGCGCTTCTAGCGAGCCGCAGCGCCTGTGAAGGCCGGCACTGTGGCACACGATGGGACGGGTGGCCGGCATCCCACCCGGCCGCCTTTGTCTCCCCAGTGGCGATGTTTGCACATCGTAGCAGGCATTGATGTTGAGGCTGAGTTGACCTAGGGGGAGGCCCAGGACCGGTTCAGATAATCTGTGTCCCCATACTCGCACTCACCCCCACCCCCTGCGTCCCCACGCTCACCCCGAGTGTCCCCACCCCCACCCCTCCGTGTCCCCTCCGTGCGTGGAGCAGAACCTGCATTGCGTCACGTGACCCGTACTGCGGCTGGGCTCGCGAGGGGTCGTGCGCCCGCATCACCGCCCCCACCAGGTGAGGCCACGCTCACCCCTACCCCACCCCACCCCTACCCCACCCCTACCACACCCCTACCCCACCCCACCCCTACCCCACTCCTACCACACCCCTATCCCACCCCACCCCTACCCCACCTCACCCCTACCCCACCCCACCTCTACCCCACTCCTACCCCACCTCACCCCTACCCCACCTCACCACTACCCCACCCCACCCCACCCCTACCCCACCCCTACCCCACCTCACCCCTACCCCACCTCACCCCTACCCCACCCCACCTCTACCCCACCCCTACCCCACCTCACCCCTACCCCACCTCACCACTACCCCACCCCACCCCACCCCTACCCCACCCCTACCCCACCTCACCCCTACCCCACCTCACCCCTACCCCACCCCACCCCTACCCCACCCCTACTCCACCCCTACCCCACCCCTACTCCACCCCTACCCCACCCCTACTCCACCCCTACCCCACCTCACCCCTACCCCACCCCACCCCTACCCCACCCCTACCCCACCCCTACCCCACCCCTATCCCACCCCACCCCACCCCTACCCCACCTCACCCCTACCCCACCCCACCCCTACCCCACCCCACCCCTACCCCACCCCTAATCCACCCCTACCCCACCTCACCCCTACCCCACCTCACCCCACCCCACCCCTACCCCACCCCTACCCCACCCGTCCATGGACTCGTGTTGACGGTACATTCCCGCCGTCCCTCCCCGTGTGTCTAACCCCGCAGCGTTCCGTACGAACAGGACATCGAACACGGCAACTCCAAGGGGCTCGAGTACTGCCAAGGTAAGGAGGCCTTCCCCTTTCTGCACTGCATTCTGGGGCGGATTGAGGGGCGGGCGGTAATGCGTCTCCCTCTCGGGGCGCGGCGGGGCCACTTTTCCGAGCACGGCATTCCCTCGCTTTTCACGAACTCGCTGACCGCGACTTTGGGCTGTCCGCCGGATGGCATCTGGGACTTTGACGCGAGCACTGCATCGGGAGGGAGAGACTCAGCTCTCGCGCTCCGCTCCCTTCCACCTCAGCCTCAGCCACCGCTGCCTCGCCTTGCCCAGCCCTCGCTCGTCTACGGACGACATGGATGATGCCCGCCCCGACCCCAGTCTATCTGGATGTGTCTCGATCATCGTCATCATTATCACCACCACCATCATCATCATCATCATCTTGATGATGATGTTAAGGAGCATAAGCCACCACCACGCTAACTCCGGTTATCCTCGCAGCAGCGGCTTTTGGCTGCTGACCATCAAACAAAGACTGTAACACCACATCACGGTGCTTCCAAATGTGCTTCTGCGGCCGTCTGGAATGCTCTTCCTTCCGAAATTACGAAGCCACTGAGAGCTATGATGCACTTTGAAATCATCATCTCGATTGCCAAACCCATTTGGCCCAAGAAAGTTGTTGTCGGGCCCTGTTTGGAATTCTGAACAATGTATTTAGACGCCACTATAATCGCAGCTCGGTCTGCGAGCAATGTTTGGACGTCATCATGAAACTATTTTATTTTATTTTTGACCTGGTGAGGCCTGCTGAGCCATCCACACGACCACAGAGAGAGACATCGCAAACACCAAATATACACGCGGCTAGGGTCAGGATTGAACCGACGATCTCCTGCATACCTGCGAGGTAGTTAACATCTCGCCATCAAACTTAATTTGAAGCTTTCGTGACTGCAGGAATCCATACTCTTTGGTTCTTTCGGCAAAGTCACGTGGGTATAAAAATAAAATAAACCATGGCACTGCATATACACACACAGTATACACAGTATATATAGTACTACTATGACCGCAATGTTATTGAGTAAAGTGTTGAGTTTGGAGTTGAGTTTCCAGAAGCGACCCTGGCGATCACAAATGCTAGCTCAACGAAGTGGCTCATCATCATCTTGTGGAAATTTACAGCGGCAGCCAAATTCTCTGAACGCACACTCAAATCTCAATGCCCATACAATCGCGTGACCGGGAGCATTTGTTTGGCTGTGTCGGCTGGGTGGTGGAGGGCTCTAACAACGCGTTACTCTTTGCCACGTCAGTACGTGGCCTAACCCCGGAATTATGTTGTGAGTCGTAACGCTGGGTGCGGAAACGCACGTGTTTAAGCGTGTGTGTGTTTGTTTGTGTGTGTGCGTGTGTTTGTGCGTGTGTGTGTGCACGCATCTGTGCGTGTGTGTGCGTGCGTGTGCATGTGTGTGTTTTACAGCCGAAGGCTTCGTGGCAATAAATGGTGAGCAATTCTTTTGCCTTCCTCCCTCCCAGGCCCCTGAGCCTTTGTGTGGGCTTCTGTTTGTTCGCTGCGCCGAGGTGCCATCGGCAAGCATCCGCCAAATCGCGCGTAATAATAATAATAGAACAAAATTCGAGCTGCCACGTTTAATCTTGCAAATATATATAAAACACAATCACGATTTTTTTTATTTACAAGAAAAAGTAACAAAAAAATCACTCGAATTACATTTTTATTATTATTTTACAAAATGCGCCTTTGTCGGATTGTTATCTTACTTTCTTTCTTAGCGCACCCGCCACTAACGCTGCCGCTGCCGGTGAAATGAATAATTTTCATCTGCAAAAGCCAAAGGCAACCGTCGTCAATGCCTGGGGTCCGCCGCTCAGATTGTCCTTCATTACGCGTCCATTTCTCCGCAAAGCAGTTGGGAGCAAACGCGGCCCCCCATATTTATATTTAGCCAACGGCGTTGATGCTCGCAATTCTGGCGGCGCTGGTTGCGACAGCCGGCGAAGCGTCTCCGTGCGAGTCGTTCGATCCGGCGCGTGGATCGCGCCCCTCCACCATTGCCGGCGGTGTGCCGAAGCCAGTGACAGCTTGACGTTTAATTCGGCTTCGTCGGGTGGTGGAGAGGGTGCGAACGACAAAGAATTTCAAATCGACCGCCACCACAGCCACCATCGCCACGTGCCGGTGGTGGCGGTGGTGGCGGTCGTTTGAAAATGCCCACCACAAATATTCTGATGCGGAGTTCTCGGAACGTGGAGCGGACCGCGGTCGAGCGACCCTGTAGCGGCCCTCGAATGAGCGATCCGCACGGTCGGCCAACGCACGGCGCGACAGAGCTTCACGGTACGCGGGTGGGTGCCGACCCATGGCTGGTACCGCGCGTGCAGCGGGGCACGGGAACCGATCCCGACACGAAAAGTCGCGGGAACGCCATTGCAAGAAAGTCGCCCCGGGTGAAAGTGACGCTTCGACAACGCGTCGCATCCTCAAATAAGACCGTCGACACGCCCCGAGGGACGGCACGAATGCCGGATGTAACCGCGTCCGGAACACACGTGTGCCGCCCCCCCCCCCCCCCCCGCCCCCCTCCCATGGGTCACAGTTGGCTACGTACGGTGCGAAAGAAGTTCAACGTACGTGCGTGCGTGTACGTACGTTACCGTCCGTACAAAATTTTAATATTTTTTATTTTACACGGGAATAAATATTTTCAGGAGCGTCGAGGCCCGAGTGAGACGCTTCCGGTGCAATAATAGAGAACGTTATTACATTAATTCTGGGTGAGCGCTGAAAAATCAAGGGCGCATGTTCTCTGCCCGCCCCGCTAGACCAACCTCTCCCGCCCCCAGGTCGAGCCACCGAATTTATATTTTCCCTTTCTTTCCAATTTATATTCCGTCCCGCTGCCATAATATTTTTTGCGCGGGGTGGCGCGTTTATGCGTTCCAGCTCCAGCCCGCCTCTCGCTCCGTCAGCCCCAAATGCGAGGTCGAGCAGTCAATAACCGTCCATCAATCACCGACTCGACACCGCTCCACGTCCACAACAATCCGCACATCACACAGGAGCGACCCGCAACCACCCTCTCTCTCCCCTCCTCCCCTCCCTACCCCCTCCTCCGCTTGGGGTCTGCTGCTGTCTATTGCATGCCGTAGAGATGCGTAGAGACCCATTGACTTGCTTGCAGACCCGTAGACGTTCATAGAGACCCGTAGGGTTGGCCCGTACGACGACGAGAGCAAGGCCCCGCGGGGCCACCGGCGGTCCCACTGGTGGCCTTTAGCGTGGCTAAAGGCCACCAGTGCTGCCGTGAAACCCCCAATAGTTTCAAATCAAATGTGTGGCGGCCCATCCTCGCACCGATGATGTCGTATTGGCGAAAGTGCCCCCCACCCTCCCGCTCTGAAAATTAGTGAAGAACACCCCCACTTCTCGCTTGAAGAAAAGTCATCGTAAAATCAATTGGGTAGAGTGAGATTCTTATTTTTAAAGTCAGTGATTATTATTTTTAAGGTCAGTGATTATTCCTGCTCTAAAGGAGCAGCCATGCCCAGCGCGTTTCCTGTTTGCTTCTCCTGGGAGTGTGGTGGCAATTCCACATTCCTATGGCGGGGGTGAGTTACTCCATAGGGCAGCCAATGTTGACTTCCCCACAAAGTAGTGCGCGTTATATCGACCTATGGGGATGATTGGCTGAGCCAAAATCTCAACCACTAAGCCTTAACTCCGAACCCCAAAGCCTCAACCCCAAACCCTAACTCCTAACCATGCACCCTAACAAAAAACCTAAACCCTCACAAAAACCGAAACTCTGAACTCCAAATCTGCAACCCTAACTCCTAACCCTAAACTCCTAGCTTCAATCCCAAAACCCTAACCAGAACCCTAAAACCATGACTACTCTGCACCCTGACCCCAGACGCCAAACCCTCAACCTTAACTCCAAAACCCTGACACTAACCTCCTACCCCCCCCAAGTAACATCTGTGATTGGATGAAAATCCTGGTCTGCGCTTGGATATGTGAAGAAAACAAATCCCCACCTCGGCGACGGTACCCGACGATGGGTTACCTTCCTCGCGACCACGTGACCTCCCTTCGCGATGTGTTCCCGCGTTGACCCTTGACCCCCGCCCCGCCCGGGCACCCCCGCCCCCCCCTCCCCGCGCGTCTCAACTCTTGACCTCGCCGCAGACTCTGCCCAGCCGCAGCAGCCCCCCACGCCAAGGGCCGGGGGGTCCGGGGGGTCCGGGGGGGCCGCGCCCGCCACGGCCGCCCCCCCCCCGCATCACAGCGGGGCACGTGCCGGCCGTGTCGGCAGAGAGGCACCACCCGCCGGGCGCCAAGGAGGGTAAGGAGGGAAGGGCTCGGTCTACGCGCCTTAGCGGAGAGAGGAGAGAGAGGAGGGAGATAGACGCTCGCACCTCCAACACGTATTCTTGGTTCTCTCGGTAAAGTCACGTAGGTGGAAAATTCAATGGAAAAAAAACATTTTTCTAATATAAATAATACATTGAAAATAATAAAAGCAATTTTTTTATTGTATTCTTTTTTATTTTTAAATTTGCTTTTATTGAATTTTCTATCTACGTGACTTTACCAAAAGAACCAAGAATGTGAATTCCTGCAGTCACGAAAGTTTAAAGTCAAGTTTCCAACACGTAGGCCCAAGCCTTCTCCAAGCCGCCACCTCTATACACTCATGTGCACATGCACGGGTCTCAGTTGCTCGTCTGTGGGTCCTGCTATGGGTCTCTGTGTGAGTCTAAGAGGGGATCTACGTGAGGCTGTTGAGTGTATGTCAGGCTGTTGAGTGTATGTCAGGCTGTTGAGTGTATGTCAGGCTGTTGAGTGCTATGGTTGATGCTTCGTGAGTGGGCGCAGCTGCTCATGGGCGTGCGGGCGCCATGGGCCATAAGCAGACCAGCGCCGGGCTACGGACTTCCAAAGAGACCCGTAGACTCTCATAGAGACCCGTAGACTTCTGTAGAGACCCGTAGACTTCCGTAGAAACCTGTAGACTTTCATAGAGACCCATAGACTTTCATAGAGACCCGCAGACTTCCGTAGAAACCTGTAGACTTCCATAGAGACCCACAGACTTCCATAGAGACCCGTAGACTCTCATAGAGACCCGTAGACTTCTGTAGAGACCCGTAGACTTCCGTAGAAACCTGTAGACTTTCATAGAGACCCATAGACTTTCATAGAGACCCGCAGACTTCCGTAGAAACCTGTAGACTTCCATAGAGACCCACAGACTTCCATAGAGACCCGCAGACTTTCATAGAGACCCGTAAACAAACATAGGGCCCAGTGGCGCAGGCGGTGCAACTGCACTGGGCCCACGCCCACGACACTTCATCAAACTGATTGCGACCCGCACACACTCTCCTATAGATGTGAAGGATGACATCGGCTTAAATTTGACTCTCCGAATGAATGAACGAATGAATGAAGAGTGGACGGCTACGATCACAATCGCCCACAGCCCGGGGGGGTGGAGGGGTAGGGTGGAGGGGGACTGAAAATCTCTGATTTCACTGCGATCGCTTCCATCGCTCATTGGATCACCGCGCGACTCTAACAAACAAGCAACGCCTTTCCCCCCCCCCCCCCCCCCCACCGCGACAAATTTCCATGTCCGCCGCAGCCCCGAACCAGCGGTGGAAACTCCACGTTCCCGCGGTGGCGGCGAGCCCAGTCAATCCGTAGGGACGGCCACCGATTGGACGCTCGTGTGCGGCGTGGAGCGGGAGAGGCGTTGGTTGGTCCCGCGTTGCTTTGCACGTGCACATGCATGGGGCGGCGGCGCTGCCCGAGTGTTTTCGCTTCGTCCGGTACCGGCCGGGGTGTTTCGGTGAAGGGTCACGCAAGGGGGGTGGGGGGGGGGGGGTGGGGGTTGCTCGGGGCTCTCGTCAATGGTCACACCGCTCCCCTGCTCGACTGCTCACCGCCTCGACCCGCTCGACCGATCGACCAATCAGTCGAGCGGCCGATGGGACGCTCGCCGCTTCCCTTGCGCGAAGGATTTTGGCCGGGCGATCGATTTGCGGTCACCGCTTTCCCCCCGCAGTTCGCTCCTGGAGAGAAGCACTCCCGCTCGAAGCGACGGGGCCCTCTCTCCCGTTAGATTCTCGCATTGTGAGTCTGGGGCGGTCGGAGGGACTGATTTTCCACTCTCGTTTTCATCGTGACTACCACCACTACCACCGCCGTGGCTTTTCTCCGGCTGCCTCCTGTTTTCCTCCCACTTGTGTGACAGACACTCTGGCTGGAAACATCTCAAAATTTAAACCCAACTCAAAAGCAGAACTCTGCTGAAAACTTTTCCTTGGACTCGGTGTGACATTCCTGGAAAAATAAATCATTATTATTAAGTAATATCTTCTGTTGTTGTGCAGCCAATAACGGTCTTCCTAGGGCCGAGTATTGAACAACCCCATCGCCGCTATTTGTCTTCAGATTCTCTCCCGGCCACACAGTTG